GAGAGAGAGAGAGAGAGAGAGTGTGTGGAAGAGAAGGGGGGAGGGGCAGATACTATGTGTCATTCTCGTAATGTGAAATGAAGGTTGCAATAATACATTATAGATAAACCTTTGTAGATCTAAATGAAGGTGTTCAGAGACACGATACGAACAGAGTAATAAGTGAATCAAAGGTATACTCTTAATGCCCGGAGGTAGTATTTGTGTTAAATATGCGATTGCTAAACGATCTTATAAATCCAAAAAGACATTTTTAAAGCAGAGAACGCTTGGTTATTTTTGAGAACACCGATGCTCGATGTAAGAAGAAATATTCAATTGTGTTAAGAATGAACAAGAAAAATTCAGAGCCCACTCAGTTTTAAATCAACTTTGCCACATTTGACACACATAATAATCCCAACCAGAGCACAATGAACTGAAATAGAAATAGAAATGAAGAGAGGGATTGAGAGATGTGTCCCGCCCTTCAGCACAGCCCGGGGCATCTAGTGTAACACTAGAGTAGGCGCTGAAATCGAAAATCGAATATAAACAGCTAACAAACATCATCATGATTGATTTTGTAGACTATCATCATCATCATCATCATCATCATCATCATCATCATCATCATCATCATCATCATCATCATCATCATCATCATCGTCATCATCATCATCACCACATTTCTTGACATGTATAGCCATCTTTCTTAAGGAGCAACAATTACAGCAGCAGCAGCAACGACTTTTAAGTCAAGTAATATTTTCAACCATAACAATGTCTAACAATCTTAAGTCGTAAGTAACATCTGGCACCACTAAAATAGGACAGGAGACCAAAAAAAAAAAAAGACAAAAAAAAGAAGTGGAATATAAATATTTAGTTTACCTAGGCTGATTAGCACAAGGACAGGAAGCAGGAGATCCTGAAACATGTTGCTGGCTTGTTGCGTGCTGTCAGTCAAATTCTGGCGTGTTCCTCACAGAAGCGACCGCTATTTGGACCTTCTGTCCTTCGCTCGCTGGACCTTCTCTCCTTATCGCACATTATTTTGTCCCGGATGCGTGCTGTGTGTCAGAAGATTACAATAACCTGATAACTATTCAACTCTTTGCGTCTTATGAAACAGCAAAGATTATTTTAAAAAAACCGTTTCTACTGTATCTTTTTATCCCCCCCCCTATTTTCTCCCTATCTGTCTATGTATAATACATGTATTAACAGGCCCATTGGTGAAGATGAAGAGAGATTACGGCCAAAACTTGGTTTTTGATTAATGTTTTTTAATATTTACATGAAAGTAAAACTTGAGTTGCAACTTTTCAAATAAAGCCTTCGGCATAAAGATCTCTGTATCTCTTTATCTATCAGTCTATCTTAGACACAACGTTTCAAACGCCAGAAGCACAAATGAATGATCATGGTCATTATCATGGAACACCAGTCTGTGATGTAGTGGTTAGGCTCTTTGCTGTCCCACGTTGAGGCCGAGTTCGACTCCCGTATGAGAATGGTCTTTATTGAGTGTTTCGGTGTTTCTACTGTGATGTTGTATTCCTCTCAGCCCGGGTTCGAAACCCACCTCCGAAATTAAAAGATCAAAATTCTTTTGATGGGGATGTAAAACGTTCCCATGAACAGTGTTTTTTCCTTCTAAAAACTATGAGCTGATGATCGACGCTGGCCTCTGTCTTTCGTTTCTTCTTTGCGTTCTGTGCCAGGCCAGGCAACGATTAGTGTTTTATGATTAATACATATTTGGTTTACAACTTAACGCGGTTTGTAGAAAACGAGAGAGAAAGAGAGAGAAAGAGAGAGAGAGAGAGAGAGAGAGAGAAAGAGAGAGAGAGAGAGAGAATGAGAGAGAGA